AGAGAGAGAGAGAATCTTAAGCAGGCTCCACACTCAACGTGTAGCCTGATGCAGGGCTAAATTCCACCACCCTGAGATCATGACCTGAGCCGAAACCAAGAGTCAGACACTTAACAGATTGAGCCACCCAGGTGCCCCAATATCAATTACAGTCTTTTCTGAATCTAAGCCCACCAAACTTTAACATTATAAAAGAAAATAACCTACCCTTCAGGCTGTTGCAAACTGTTTCTTATATTTTTAATTTGCTGGAAGTGACCTGACATGTCTGTAGACAAAACCATTTCAATCACTAGGTTCCGAAGATCCCTGTGGAGTCATCAAAAGAAGAAAGGTTTATTTGGCCCTTGAGGATTCTCAAGTAAAATATTTCTTCAAATATTACTACTTAAATTTTATTTTTCTTAATGTATATGAGCAAAAATATGCTACTTTTTAAATATAAAAGAGCTCGCAAACTTTGACTTTATTTCATCCTTTAACTCTAATGGCTTTAGGAAGTTCCCAGGAGAGCGATCTGTGAATGATGCTGTTTAACAACACTCCTGCTTTCCCCACCCACACGTACAACCCTCCCCTACTCATAATTCCTAAATATTGTTTTTATTTCTGAAAGTATCCTGACAAATCTAAAAAACATACTTTTATTTTACTTATTTTTTAAAGTTTATTTATTTATTTTGAGGAGGGGGTGGGGCAGAGAAAGGGAAGAGAATCCCAAGCAGGCTCCAGGCCCAGCCCAGTGCAAAGTCCAATGCAGGGCCAGATTACAACTAGCTGAGATTGTGACCTGAGCCAAAATCAAGAGTTGGCCACTTAACTGACTGAGCCACCCCCGTGTTTCCCAAAATTAATTTTAAATGCAGTATTTGCTATTATTAAAACAACCACTATTTATTCAGGTAAGTCCTGAATAAGTAGTGTCCTAAGTAGTGTCCCAAGTAGTGTCCTAGGTGCTTTTATATAGGGGGTATTATTATTTCACACCAGAGGAGATTGGGGTTTTCCCAGTCACATAGGTAGCTGGTACATGGCAGAGATAAGATTCAACACCAAGAGTTCCCACTCCTAAAGCTTACACTTAGACCACTTCACTGTGCCAACCTATCATCCTAAGAACCCCAGAGAAGTCAAGATGCTAATGTGAGTGCAATTCTCTGTTTAAGCTTTTGGGACCCTGACACTACAATATATTGTAGACACAGCTATTGAAAGTTTGATCAAATTTAAATCTGAGCTATAAATACAGTGACCATATCACAAAACCTATGCACGAATAACTCATTCTCACAGTAAGTTGGAAATAAGTTACGACAGGAAAGGCTTCATTGCTCAGTATAGATAGGTAGAAAAGTCACTTATACTGGAAATCATATTTTATTTTCATTCTGTGGCATGGCCACTGGAGTAAGCTAAATAAAAGGTGTGTGGTAAACTTGCATTATAATCTTGTGTCGAAGATATTTTACTTAAAGGTGGTATGACTGGATGCTTTTTTTTTTTTAACCAAAGCATATTATTATTTTTTTATTTATATATGAAATTTATTGTCAAATTCGTTTCCATACAACACCCAGTGCTCATCCCAAAAGGTGCCCTCCTCAATACCTGTCACCCACCCTCTCCTCCCTCCCACCCCCCATCAACCCTCAGTTTGTTCTCAGTTCTCAACAGTCTCTTATGTACCAAAGCATATTAGAGGTACTTGCTGAAAATTATGGGTCCTTAATTAAATTGCATTTTTCAGATGGGCATTGTGAGAAATCATTACGCTGATTACTGTTAATGATATTGAATAGCCTGCTTAGCATACTTGCTCCTAAATATTAAAGGAAACTAAAGATAATGAAATTATTTTTAATACATTTTTTTCCTCTGGAATTATGAAGAGACCCATATTACAATAGCAGCTGAACCAAAATATTCATTTTAACTAAGAAAAAATGAGATGAATGTTTTATGAAATCTTAAAATTTAGTACATTTTAGTTTGTAAGTGATTAGTAAGTGCTAGATATTATCAGTAATCAGCTAATAATGTATCAGTAAACTAGGCAAAATAGTGCACAAGGGAATGTTACTTTATGAATCTTCCTTACCAAATTTTTAAATTATTTCATTTATGGTTACTAAAGTTAAATTAAGAAATAAATAGGTATGCAAACCAAAAACCTACACGTTTTTTAAAAAGCTATCTATATTTTAATTTGTGGTAAAATATTATCAATTTTATACTAGCAAATATATCTTTTGTAGCTTTTAGAAACAGTGTTGTATCTATTAAATTCTACAATCTGTATGATATTATAGTATTAAAACAATTCTGTAAAACCATTCAATTAGGATGATTCTGAGAAGTTACTATACAGAAATTTATAAAATATTATGGGAATAAATTATTAGAATACTAAAGATGCTAAAGAACAAAAATGTAATAGGAAAAAATTACATTGAAATTGCAACAGAATCAACTTTGGGAAGGAAAAAGATTAATTTAAAGGAATAACAGTAAAAATTAATAATATAAATGTTACTTCTGGGAGTAATAATCACTGATAAAAATTAAATTAATACTCTAAATGAGTACTCTCTAAAAGAGAGTACATTTCTTGGTCCTTAGCAAATACCTCCAAACTTATCTCCCTACTCCTACGTATACCCTTCTATTCTCCACATAGCCCACCAATGGTAGCTTTAAAATCCCTTCACAATTAGATGGTGGCCTTCTTAGCTGGAAACACAACTGAGCTATTGTTTCCTGCAGAATAAAATGAAAGGCCCAAACTGGGTTCCCAAATTTCTCCCCCCCACATCAGATCTGCTTCCAAGGTTGCAAAAGCAAGCCCATGTTTTATACAGCTTCAAAAGTGGCCTTGAAAAACCAGAAAGCTTGAGTATTTGGAAAAGTAACCATCAGAAATTAGGGCTTGTTTTAAAAACCATTCATTCTTTAATTCATTCATTCATTCATTCATTCATTCATTCATTCATTTTGAGGCAGCTCTTCATCCGAAAGCATTTCTTTGAACATTTCTTTTTACCTTGATTTAAAGAAAAAAATTAAAAACCTGTGATATTTAAATGGGAATCTTTTCAGCTCACTAACTTTTAACAAAATCTTTGTTAAAGATAAGGCTTTTAAAAAAATAAGTAGGTCTCACTGAATAGTAGGGACATACAGACATATTTGCACTAAATATCTCGATGTTTATCAGAAATTCATACTTAACCGGACACCCTTTATCTTTATTTGCTAAATCCAGCAGCCTTACAGTCAAATGAAGGTGTTGATGATGACCAAAGATAGAAGAAGGAGGAAAAGTTACTCTGAGCAGTAGGGGTACATCTTGTTATCTCCCCCTACATGGCAACAAGTATCACCAATCCATGAATGTTTTTTGTTGTTGTTGTTGTTTGTTTATCTTAAGCAGATGGATGCCCTGAAGAAAAGGTAAGATTTCCCTCTGCATCTGGGTCATTTTACTATATTATGTTTGTAATTTTTTCCTTCAAACAATGAATTTTTTTAAAAAAAAGCTAAACTCCACATATAGAAAAATAATATAGGAAGGAATCCATATTACACTACAATTTTGAATTTATTTAGGACCACATATTGGTATAATTAAGCAGAGCTCCATTCAAGAGAGTACATAATTACTCTCTGGAAGTATTTGTTGTGTGGTATGTGGTCTTATGGGTTGGCTATGATGCAAACAGATGTTGAATTAGCCTGGAAAATAGTTTAACTTCCACCAGCAGAGACTGGCTCCTGGAAGTCTTCTAGGTACTAATCCTTCTTAGAGTCATCTAGTCAAAGGGAATTTTTATAACATGAATAAAAGATTGATTTTCATCCATTTTCTTCACTTTAAATCACATCACTTAACTGTTTCCTGAAATTAAATTTTCTCTAGGCTTCCTCTGAAACTCACCTCCAGTCATCTTTGGATAAATTTATCAAAACATTCATTTCTTCTTCTTGCATAAGCCGATAAGCTGCACTCACATGGTGATTCTCAAGGACTGAGCGATCATTATATAAAAGGGCAACATCTGACCTGAGAATTAAAAACAAAATGTAAAGTACAGGATTCTTTAAATTTCATGAGTGTTGAATAAGAATACTCAAGTCACAAGATATCTATCTCATCAGTAAAAATTCTCTAATTCAACATCCAAATTGATGAAAGTAATTTAATTGTATGATAACTTAAAAAAATAAATCTTATTTTTTTAGAGCAGTTATAGATTGACAGAAAAATTTAGCAGAAGGTACAGAGATTTGCAATATACCCCTTCAGCTCAAACATGTGTAACATCCTCCCCCCATTATTAACAGCCCCCACCAGAGTGGTACATTTGTTATAACTGATAGGTCTACATTGAGCATTGTTATTAACAAAGTCCATAGTTTACATTAGTATTCACTCTTGGTGTTGCACATTCTGTGACTTTGGACAAATGTACAATGACATGCATCCACACTTATGACATTATACAGAGTATTTTCACTGCCATAGAAATCCTCTCTGCTTTGTCTGTTCTTCCCTCCCATGCCCATAACCCCTGGCAACCACTAATCTTATTGTCTCCATAGTTTTGCCTTTTCCTAATGTCATATATTTAAAATCATATAGTATGTAGCCTTTATAGACTGGCTTCTTGCACTTAGTATTATGCATATAAGATTCCTACATGTCTTTTCATAACTCAATTCTTTTGAAAACTGAATAATATTCTATTGTCTGGATCTATCAAAATTTATCCTTTCACCTATTCTATCCTCAAGGATATCTCAGTTGCTTCCAAGTTTGGGCCATTATGGATAAACCTACTATAAATTCCTTGTTCAGGTTGTGTGGACATAATTTTTCAACTCCTTTGGGTAAATATGAAAGAGTGTAATTGCTGGCTTGAATGGTAAGAATATGTTTAGTTTTGTAAGAAACTGCCAAAGGGTCTTCCTAAGTGGCTGTACCATTTTGCGTTCCCACCAGCAATGCATGAGAGTTCCAGTTGCTCCACATCCTCACCAACAATTGGTGTCATCAGTGTTCCAGATTATAGCCACTCTAATAGATGTGTAGTGATAGCTCATTGTTTTAATTTGCATTTCCCTGATGACATACAATGTGGAGCCCCTTTTTATATGCTAATTTCCATCTGTATATCTTCTTTGGTGAGGCATCTGTTAAGGCACATTTTTAAGTCAGGTCATTTATTATTGTAGAGTTTAAAGAGTTCTTGTATTTTGCATGACAGTATCTTATCAGATGTATCTTTTGCAAATAATTTCTCTCACTTCGTGGATGGTCTCTTAATTATCTTGATATTGTCTTTTCCAGAGCATGAGGTTTTAATTTTAATGAATTCCAGATTATTAATCATTTCTTTCATGAATTTTGCCTTTAGTGTTGTACTTAAAAAGTCACTGCCACATCCAAGATCATCTAGGTTTTCTCTCATGTTAACTTCTAAGAGTTTTATATTTTGCATTTTACATTTAGGTCTATCACCCATTTTGAGTTATTGTGAGGCGAAGATCTCTGTCCAGATTTTTTTTTTTTTTTGCATGTTCAGTAGTTTCAGATCCATTTGTTGAACAGACTATCTTTGGGTTATTGCACTGCCTTTACTCCTTTATCAAAGATGAGTTGACTATATTTATGTGTGTGTATTTCTTCTTCTGTTCCATTGATCTATTTGTCTATTCTTTTACCATTACCACACTATCTTGACTACTGTAGCTTTGTAGTGAGTCTTGAAGTTAGATAGTGTCAATTCTCCAACATTGTTCTCCCTCAGTAACGTATTGGCTATTCTGGTTCTTTTGCCTTTCCATATAAACTTTAACTCTGTTTGTCAATATTCACAAAATAACTTTCTGGGAGTTTGGTATTGCATTGAATCTGTAGATCAAATTGAGAAGAACTGACATCTTGACAATACTGAATTTTCCTACCATGAACATGGAATATCTCTCCATTGATTTAGTTCTTCTTTGAACTCTGTCATCAGGTTTTATAGTTTTCCTGGTATATATCTTATCCATATTTTGTTAGATTTACACCTAAGTATTTCATTTGTTTGGAATTTCAATTTTTTGATGTTAATATAAATGATATTGTGATTTTAATTTCAAATTCCACTTGTTCATTGCTGGTATACAGGAAAATAGCTGAATTTTGTGTGTTAACCCTATATCCTGCAAAGTTTCTGTAATTGCTTGTTAGTTCTATAAGTTTTTTCATCAATTCTTTTGGATTTTCTATATAAACTATCATGTCACTTGTGAACAAAGACAGTTTTATGCCATCTTTCCCAATCTCTATACCTTTTGTTTCCTTTTCTTATCTTATTGCATTAAGTAGGACTTCCACTGTGATATTAAAAAAAAAGTAGTGAGAAGGAACATCCTTGCCTTGTTCCTGATCTTAGTGGAAAAACTTCAAGTGTCTCACTGTGAAGTGTGCTATTAGTTGTCAAGTTTTTGTAGACATTCTTCATCAAGTTGAGGAAAGTCTCCTATATTCCTAGTTTACTGAGCATTTTTATCATGAATGGTGTTGGATTTTGTCAAATGCCTTTTCTGCATCTTGATATCATCATGTGTTTTTGTTCTTTAGCATGTTGATATGATGATTACCTTAACTGATTTTTGAATGTTAAGCTTGGGACTAAATCCCACTTGGTTATAGTGTTTCGTTTCCTTTTAATTATCATAGTTTGAATATATTATGCCTTTTCCTTTAAATTTGTAATCCAGATACCTGTGATTTAATTTAGATATGCCAAACAAAGGGAAAAAAAATTACTTGACATCTTCATTCAATCTGAATGAATCAACCCTCTGTTGATGAATCAACCCATTCCAGATAGTTGATTACCCACTATTTCCTATTAGCTTGGACTAAAATTACTTTGGGTGGGGGATGGAGGATGGAGGGGATAATATAAATCATTTGATCTATTTATGATTCTAGTTTTTTTTCTCCCATATAATGTTGCAATTCAATTTGAATATTTTGATCCCATAGCATTAAATTAACTAAGAAAATCATTTTTTAAACAAAATGTATGTTTCACCACCAATTTATAATGAACATTTTAAAATAATGAATTCATCAAGAGAAGTTTTCTTTTGTTTTTCACCTGTCCATATTTTCACATAATTTTATCTTATCACTTGATCAAATAAACTATTTCAAGTTGCATTGCTGAAGTTAGTATCCTAGCATAAAGTTTGAAATATTCCAAGCATTCTCACATCTGTATAATGGAGCTCTGGTTGCTTATTCCTCTATCTTCTTAGGTTGCCAGATCATTTTGCAAGTGTGGAATGGAAGCAGAACCACTATGTTCAATGAATTAAAATGGTAAATCCATGTATATAAGTTGGCAAGTTGGAAGTAGGCAGCAAAAATAGCAAAAGGAAAGTCAATCTAAAACCTGTACAACTTTGCCTCCACTTTCCCCAATGCCCAGATTCTTCATTTTTCATTCCTTCTGGTAGGGATATACTTTTGTCTTACTAAGCCTCACTAAGACTTACTGTTTGTTTTAGGCTTTTCAGTCAGTAGTACTGATTATAGCACTCACCACTGAATGTTTACCAAAAAAAAAAAAAAAAAAAAAAAAAAAAAAAAAAAAAAAAAAAAGGTGAGGATACATAAAAGAAAGAACTAAAGAAACCTGGTTTTTGTTGTAAGCTACCTATTCGAGATTTGTATCTAATAATCTACCAGATAAACCAAGCTTAATGGTTAATCCAGCATAGGGAAAATGACCTATTAAGAAGAACAATTACGTATCTTCTGTTTCTAGACTATCATAGAAGTAGAAAAACATATGTAATTAGCTAATAGTACATAACTTCAAAATAGTTTTAATTTCAACCATGGCCTAAAAATTCCTTAACCGATAATCATAACTCAAAATACAGAAAAGTACACCTGCAATCCTTATTTAAAAGATAATTAAATATATGTTTCCAATCTCTAGAATTTCACTCAGATTATGGGAAAAACTGACTTGTAAATCTCATATCATTTGTGTCATATGGCCTCAAATCTAGCCATGACAGTGTTATTACATGATATAGCTCCAAGTAATACTGTCTTCTACTTTCAGCATTAAGCAAAAATGTATTTTTGAACCAGATTTAATTGTAAGAAACTATTATGATTTTGTCTCATAAATCAACAGGATTTTGAGAATACAGCACTGTCTTAATGTTTGAGATGGTCTTTGACTGCTAAGAAAAGAACAACTCTAAGCAACATTCAGTATCCATAGTAACATGTAGCTCAGTATTTTCACAAAAAAATTATTTTTCTTTATTTACACTTTCAAGGATTTCATGTATTTTAATGTGTGTATTGAACTCAAATTTAGCACTGCACTATGTTCTAAATTATTTTTCACTTTTCATTACCCAGTATAGAGTTTTCCAAATTAGAAAAGCATTTTAAATTCAAGTAAAAATGAATAATATAAAATACAATAGAATTATTGATATTAGTAACATAAGACCTTATTTTTTCTTGGACATAATATAAAGGCAATAGAGTTTTAAAAGCACACTATATTGTTAGATTTGTGGTCATTACAACTTTTTATTCATAGAATTTTCAAGTTCTTGTATAATTAATCCTTTAAATTGATCCTGATAGGCAATTTATAACAAAATAAACAAAATACTAGACCTTTTCTCTCCTTTATATACAATTTCTTAATATAAAATTGGGGGGAAAAAAGAATTCTTCTTCCTCCTCCCTCTCCTCTTCCTTTACTCTTTTTCTTCTTCTCCTTCCCTTCTTCCTTCTCTTCCACCACCTCCTTCTTTTTCTCCATTTCCTTATCCTTCTCTGCAGTCCAAAGTATAAGTAAGTTAGGACTCTTCCTCCAGTTGTAAATGGATGGTAAAGGAGAAAGCTAGAAGAGACAGCCTGACACTGCTGCTGGAGAAAGCCAGTCCATTGCCTTCACTTTTCAAAGTAGAAACAAGAAGTGTTCATTGGTAACAAATCTCTCGCTCCTTTTCTCCTAAAACTATTGTCCTATACAGGGCTCAGTTCAGTAATGAGCTATCTTTAATTAAAATCTCACTCATTATGGATTCAGGGGATGTGGAAGAGTCTTTGACAAGAAAAAAATGATCTGCACAGTCTACCTTTGCTCTGATGTTCAGCACAAAAATGGAACAACTCTCTCCACTCTCCAAATGTGTAGGTTATTAACACCCCCTTCCACATGACCTGACCTCAATGTCTCTTTTTTCCCTTCTTGTTCTGCCAATCTTAGGGACTCTGGGTTTACACAGAATGCCTTCTTCAATATTTCACTGTATTTCAACTCTCCCTCTGTCTCCATCAAGGGATCACGTTTTCTAAGCCCATCCCATTTCAGGCTATAGAAGACTGGAACTATCATGCATCTGCCTCTGGCCATGGGATCAGAGTTGTAGGAAGAGGCTAGATTGAGAGTATCCCTCTTCTCAGCTTCTGAATTCTGCTACTGCCATCAGCTGACTATGTGTACATAGATAGATCATTTCACCTCTTCAGGTTTTTTTTCTCTGCTTAGGTTGTGAGACTTTGACCAGATGATCCATAATGTGGCTTTCTGTCACTAAGTCACTTGAGGCACTAAAAATGTCTAATATTTCAATAAAATGTTCCTATGCTCCCCACATTGAAAAATAATTTCCTATAGCTGCAAAATCAGGTGTTAACAATATTGCTATTGGGGCGGCTGGGTGGCGCAGTCGGTTAAGCGTCCGACTTCAGCCAGGTCACGATCTCGCGGTCTGTGAGTTCGAGCCCTGCGTCGGGCTCTGGGCTGGTGGCTCGGAGCCTGGAGCCTGTTTCCGATTCTGTGTCTCCCTCTCTCTCTGCCCCTCCCCCGTTCATGCTCTGTCTCTCTCTGTCCCAAAAATAAATAAAAAAACGTTGAAAAAAAAAATTAAAAAAAAAAAAAACAATATTGCTATTAAAAAACAAATGAACAGACCACACAAAAACCTGCACGTAAATGTTTATAGCCTCTTTATTTATAACCTTTATTCAAAAATCTGGAAGTAACCAAGATATCTGTCAATTGGTGAATAAGGAGAGAACCTTTGCCACATGCATACAGTGTAATGTTTGTTGTTCACCAGTGAAAAGAAATGAGCGATATATAGCACAAAGACTACGCCAGAATATGTACTATGGACTTTTAGTGAATAATAATTACAAATAATATTTCATTAATTATAACAAATGTACCATACTGATGCAAGATGTTAACAATAGGGGAAGCTGTAGGGTGGGGAAAGAGTACATGGAAACTATGTACTTTTCAGTTTTTCTGAGAATCTAAAGCTGCTCTAAGAAATAAAGTCTATTAATTTAAAAAATGAAAAAGTAAAAAATAAATTTAATTTTCCCTCAACAAGAATAGACAGGTCTACAGTAGTTCCAGAGAAACATCAGTCTGTCAATGTACATCTCCATCTCAAGCATATTTGACTAGTAAAAGACAGAGAAATTTCAGGATCCAATGTATAGAAAGTGAATTGGATCATGATGGGTCCTAGACACGTTCTGCCTCCCAGGCACTGAGATCTCTGTGCAACCAAAAGAGCAGAGAGCACTTTTCTGTTACGAACTGAATTATTTCCCTCCCAAATCCTTATGTTGATGTACTCACCCTTTGTACCTTAGAATGGGACTGTATATGGAGATAGGCTTTTAAAGAGGTAATTAAAGTTAAATGAGGTCATAAGGGTGATGCCTAACCAATATGGCGGTATTTTTCTTATAGGAAGAGAAAGAGATACCAGGAATGTGTACCCACAGAAAAAAAGCCATGTGAAAACAGTGAAAGAGCAGCCATCTGCAAGCCAACGAGAGGGGTTTCAGCAGAAACCAAACCTGCTGACATTTCTTGGACTTCTAGACTCCAAAACTGTGAGAAAATTTCTGTTATTTAAACCACCCAATCTGTGATTTTGTGATGACAAATATATCTCCACTCTGGTATTTTGATTCTAATAACTGCCATTATTACCATCACTAAAAAATATCATTTTCTAATTATTTTAAGCTTAGAACTTCATGCTAACCTGGAAATACAGTTTCCTTGATTTTTTTTCAGAAGTACAATTTTATTACTTTCAAATACATAATGATACTAAACTGATGCCTTAAACAATATGTTGTAAGATTTGTCTCAGTGAGCAGATGTCTGACTTATGTGATAGTTCAGAATATTAATTCTGGGAAGAAAGAAGTTGTATGACACATTTTTACATTCTCTAAATTGCTAAATATGTCACCAAATATTTGTACAATTTTCTTGATAAATAATAATCGTTTGTTAGCTTAAGTAATTTTGCTAAAATCTATTAAAACTATTCTTATTAGACATATTCACTGTTATTTTTAAATTTTCTTAAAAATAAGTAATATGTGGAAAATAAATTTCAAGTTTTAATTAAAAGTTAATACTTTATATAACTTACCTAGTCTGAATGTGAAAGTTGTTTGTGGTTCCTGTATGCTCATAATCATGAATGGCAGCAGCAAAGACCATTGCTAAAATTTCCAGTTCAGTGAGCCAGTGCTAGTAAATTAAAGAAAGATACCATGGTATTTAGAAAGCACAGCCATCTTGTATTCCTACAAAAGAGATTTTTCAGTGCATCCAGTATAAGTAGTCGTATAAATATATTAAATTATTTTTATTGATCTTAAAATACTTTTTCCCCTTATTTCACATACATTAATTGCATAATGGATGCTTCATGAAGTCAATGATTCAAAAAGAGACATTATAATGTTCCTTGCTAATCAGAAAAGGAGTAATTTTCTATGATTTAAAAGGTGAACCCTCACTGGGTTTTTGAATTCAAAGGGGTTTGTTGCTAATTAAAATTAGCAATTTGGGTTCTCATGAAATCAATTATAGTTTAGTGATTTCTTTTAGTTTAGTAATTTTTAACATATAGCCCATATATCATTGAAATGTTTTTAGCTCAACTTTTATAGAAGACTCTTCTATCAGGAAATTTCCTAAGAGTTGAAAATATTCACTTTTCTCATTAGAGAAACTGAACTTTGTTTTTATATTTAAAAATCTGGAAGCGTTTCTAAGAATTTACTAAATTTGCTCTTCATAGCACACATACTCTTGACTGTGCATATAAGTTAGTAATAAAAGAGAGAATAAATGTTTCATATAAAATCCAGACCACCTGCTTCAATATAGATTGATCGTTCTGTTATCCATTGGATGGTTTAACAAATTTCTCTGCTATTATAAGCCTACTTTGGTAATTTGATAGTTTATTCATCACTGACATTTAACATAACAGTTTTACTCCTCTATTATGGTAACCACATGTGACCACTTAAACTGAAAATAAATATAATTAAATAAAATTAAGCTCATTTTCCCAGTCACAGAAACCAAATTTTAGCTGCTTCATAGTCACATGTAGCAAGTAGTTACCAGATGGAACAGTGCAGTGTTCCTATCATCACAGATAGTTCTATTGGATAGAACCACCAGTAGATGGTACTTGATGGTAGTAATGGAGGATCCAAATGATATGGAGCTTGCTCTTAGTAGTCTCATTCCATATACTTGAAACAATTAAATTGTACAAAGCAACAGAAAAATATAATGTAAACTACATGCATACTTGATAAAAGATCACAGTTTGAAGTACAATCAAAGAGCAGATTGAATGTCTATTTGATGGCAGTGATCTTGAAAGAAGGATGGACAAAGATTAGTATCTAAAAGCAGTGTTAGGAACAGAGAGATTCTAAATAGAGCAAATGCAGAATGAGAGTGTAGAGGCTGATATGAAAGGCGAATTGCCAATTGTGTTGGAAAGTCAAGTGGAATGAGAATGGAAAGAGAGTGCAGCTTATGGGAAGAGTTGATAGACTACTTTGATTAGAGCTGATGAATTTGGATTTTGTATAAAATGCAAGAGGGAGCCATTGTAGGTCCATGACTCAGGAATGAGAGGTGACAACTGTTGAATTTCATAATTGACAAAGGCATCATCTTATTAATCTTTGCTCCCCTTCACATAACCTATCATGGTAATTGGCACATAGTAGGAACTTAATATTTGTCTGTTGACTTGAATTTCACCAGTTTTGTATTAGAAGGAGGTAGTAAGGAATAGTTGAAAGAGATTGTGGAATCAGACAATTGCTGGTTTTAAATCTTTGTCGATCATTAGGCAAACAAGTTATTTACCCTCTCAGCCAGAGCTCTCATGAAAATAGAATTAGTGATCATTCCCTGTGGAATTTTAAAAGAAGTTTTAAGTTAATGTATTCGCTGTGCTTTTTCACAAATCTTGTCATATAGTAAAATACAGAACAGATGCCATTTTCCTGAACTTATTACCTTAAATGCACTGTAGAAGGCATTGAGTCTGGGAAATAATAGTGAGCTAACATATCTTTAGTGATTGCAATTCAAGAATAAATAGTCTCACAGCTGGATGACTGAAGCAGAAATGATTTTCAGAACCAAAGGGAGTTGATATAGCTAGCTATTCTGTGTTTATGGGTGCATTTAATTGTAAGTCATTAAAAGGAAGAATGGGCTGTATTATAAACTGAAGTAAGACTGAGCCTCCAATGTCCCCAGCGAGACTGTGGAATTAAACACCATGAAATGAATAGCAAGCAACTAAAGTTAAACCAGTTCTTGAGCCCCCAGAAACCCATTGTTTTATAAAAAAAATTATTCCTAGAAAAAAAGTCACCTGTTTTCTTAAGTATTTCCTATTGATTATATTTAAGATTTATATATTTAACTGTGATTTTTAAAAAGTAACATTCAATATCTATAATAACATAGAATATGAAGTTGCAATTATACAAAAATACAATTAGGGCAGCAGAGATAAATTTTAATTATAGATTATCTCATAAGTATTTAAAATTATTATCTTCCTAGCTGTCAAAATTGATTATACTTATTTCCTGTTTTTAGTCTCATTATTCTCTGCTTCCCATAAATAGTACTTCTTCCATGAATCTCTCTTATTTATTGCCACATTATAGCCCTAATAAATAATTTTAAATTATAAAATGGTTTGGAAAGAGAGAAATGCTGAACCCTCACACTCAATTTAAAAGCACATCTATTCTGCATTAGCAAAAGTAGAATTTGGGGCTGAATTTTTAGCTCCTTGGTTGTTAATTCATTTTACACTGGTGCCAAATGAGAATTCTAACTCAGAAAATGAAAGCTTAAATTCATAGATTTTGTAAATGATGCAAGAGGACATGCCAGAGAGAATGAGACTGAATCCTATCACTCTTCCCAACTAGCATAGTGATCCATACGTAACCTATACTCTTCTGATTCCTCACGGACAGGCATAAAGGGTAAAAACGATGAGTCATGAGCAGTGCAGACACTGTGCTTCATCTAAACTACAGTTTGCACTTTGCATAGTGGAATGCTCAGGGAGACTAACTCTAAAAATGAGAAGTCCTCAAATTAAATCATAGGGAGATACTGACCGCTATCAACAGTTCGCACAATGATGACAGAAAGAAAGAAGAAACTAACATTAACTGGACATTTTAGTTATATGGTCTCTAATTTGTATAACCATCCTATTTTCCATTTATGAGGTAAGTATTTTTACCTTCATCTGGCAGCAAACAAAGCTGAATCCTAAAGAATTGAATCAACCTGCCAAAGGCCACATTGCTATCAAGTGGAAGAGCAGGAATTCACCCCCAAATCTGATTTCAAAGTTTCTGTTCCTTCCAGAGATCAAAATATTCCTTCCATGGATGACAACAGCATTTGTTACTTGAGGGAGGTAATATGCAGAACACATTCTTCTAAGGTTTCAAAAGCAGAATTTCTAGATAATTTAACTGGGTATATTGATGGGTAGAAGCTAATAAAGCTCTAAGACTTATGATGTAAATTTTCATACCTCAAGTTTTCAGTGTGTGTGTGTGTATGTGTAAGGTTGGGAGAATTTCAGGTCAGAAAATCACATTGACCTATTAGTTCCTGGTGTGTCTAAAAGAGCATAATTAATAACTCTTTAAATTATTGGGTTGGGTACTTTTTCTCTATCCCTTTGACTAGGATGACATAGTTTGCTATAACTTACCCAGTATAGAAAGTGAGTGTTATAATAATATTAATACATAATACACATAAAGTAATATATAATAAAAATAAGTTAATAATTGTTATCGACGTGAGGGTGTGTGTTAATACCCATTATGTGTCAGGAACTAGGTTAGGTGCTTTACATATATGATATCATTGACTCTTCACTGGTGGTCAGTATTATTAACCACATATTAATGACAAGAAAGCCAAGGTAGAGAGCGAGTGAGCAAGCATAGTGGTAGAGCAGGATTCCACACCTATGTCTGATTGCCTTGAATGCCTGCACCCATTCCACTCTTCCAAATATTGCTGTCTGGGAAGCCGTTTGTAAAAACAGAATTCCCACACAGTTTGTAGAACACAGACAGAGTGGTACATTTTCTGTAGACTGATTGGAGAACAACTGAGTCATTCCAGAGTGTGGGGGTCTATTTCTGGGTGTGGTCAGTAGACTGCAACTGCCAAAGGAAATAGATCGCACATCATCTTTCTTTCTTCTACTCTTAATGTTAGAACACAGTGCCAGGAGCCCTTAAATACAAGTGTTCCTTTCAAGACCTCGGATGATTTGAAATTCAATGAGATATTTGAAGGTGGCTTGGTAGCACTTGGTGAAGGAATTTGCTCTTTAGCAAATGGATTGAGCTACCACACACCCCTGTCACCTTGGCACAGAACTACAAGTTAACTAAGTGATAAAGGATAGAAAGAGACAGAGGCTGTACCGACATCCAATCTCTCTGCAGTGTCTACTCCCAAGCCAAGAGTATCCCATCTGACATTAACAAACTGAAGGACACTGGCTTCATCACAATCCCCTTCAGGCACTGGTCCTTAGAACACTTTGCAGGTGACAGGCTGTGTGAGTCACCTGACAATTTGGGGCTGCCACTGGAGTGCTCCATAAATGTCACACAGATAAGACTGTCCTGAAACAGCAGGACATCAACTAAAATACTGAAGTCAGTGACTTCAGTAACTTTCCCAAAGCTATAAAGCTGGCAGTGAAATGTAGTTTTGGCAACACTGTCAATAAATTCGTAATTCATTTTGCCTTTCATCTTAGCATCTATCATAAAATTTCTCATTACTCTCTGTAGTTTAAATGTATCTTCCTGATCTTGGACAACAGTGACAATCTTCCACTAGGCTGTTTTTGTAATGGCCAAACTAATGGATGATTAAAGAGCCCACTAACACATTTTTGCTGAAGGATGAATAAATCAGAAACAAGTTCCTCCAACAAAACCTGCTAAAGTAGAGTGAAGTTATGTTTATGACTGGTAAGTTACGGTCCTCTCAAAGAGTGACTATGTGATCTTCACTAATGTCAACTTCTAGGAGTCCTGCCGGGCTGGACCAGCTTTGTCCAGTATTCTGGAGAAGTTGGAGTGGCTTGGTATATCCAGGAAAAAGTCCTCCTCACAATTCCGAGGAAAAAGTTCCATTGTGGATTTGAATTTCTCTATTTACCAATAATACAGCATCCTTCATTTCTTCAAACAGAGATTTCATTTCAGAACAGAGATTCTGAGGCTAAAATAGGAGACTTTTATTTAGCTCCCTTTACACTGATAGCGAAAATAAAATATACTTAAGCAGAAACATTTTTATTTTATTTTATTTAAAAAAAATTTTTTTTCAACGTTTATTTATTTTTGGGACAGAGAGAGACAGAGCATGAACGGGGGAGGGGCAGAGAGAGAGGGAGACACAGAATCAGAAACAGGCTCCAGGCTCTGAGCCATCAGCCCAGAGCCCGACGCGGGCTCGAACTCACGGACCGCGAGATCGTGACCTGGCTGAAGTCGGACGCTTAACCGACTGCGCCACCCAGGTGCCCCATGCAGAAACATTTTTAAATGATGAAATTTTGGTTACCTCCCAGCATAAAATGGCATATATCTTCTCACTGCATGTCATAATTAAAGTAGATATTTTATTAGACTGAAGGCTTTACTTTTCCATTCCATTAAGTTCTGAAAAAACTGAATCACTTCAGTTTCCATTTCAGGGTACCACTTACATGTTATGTTTTTGAGTTAACTTTTTCAAAGCCACAGAACTCAGGAAAGAGGAAATGCCACACTTGAAAACCATCTGGCTATCAGATTCAAGACCAAGGCCTTAGAAAGGAAACAGTAAGCAGCTCTAACCAGGAAGGTAGTGAAGCAACTTTTTTTTTTTTTTAATTTTTTTTTTTCCAACGTTTATTTATTTTTGGGACAGAGAGAGACAGAGCATGAACGGGCGAGGGGCAGAGAGAGAGGGAGACACAGAATCGGAAACAGGCTCCAGGCTCTGAGCCATCAGCCCAGAGCCCGACGCGGGGCTCGAACTCACGGACCGCGAGATCGTGACCTGGCTGAAGTTGGACGTTTAACCGACTGCGCCACCCAGGCGCCCCGTGAAGCAACTTTTTCAAGTAGAACAGCATTTGCAGCTGTCAGGAGGCAAAGAGTTCAAAAAACAGCTGTGATGATGAAGTCTTATTAGAACCAAAGGAACTTTAAAAGAATTTGCGTGTGTGTGTGTGTGTGTGTGTGTGTGCGTGTGTGTGTGTGTGTGTGCGTGTGTGAGTGCACATACTAGAAACAGTTATAAAGAAGGTTACATATGCTACTTTTTAAAAGCTTATAATATTTTAAAACTCTATCTTTGAATGCTTTATTTTCTACTTATTATTGTTAACTTCAACTCCATCCCTTTCCATGCCAAATCAGACTCCTAGAAAGAAGAGTGAGTAAACTTCAACCCAGGACCAAGCAAGTCCAGACATGGCTGCATTTGATCTCAGCCAATGGGCATATTTATACCTTAAGTCTGTGATGCCCATACCTATACCTTACAACAGGAAAACCCAAGGTATGAGGTTGACAATACATGTAAGTTCAGCCTTCAATAAGGTCATGAGAAGGTCATGCTACTGTATCAGTTAGGGTTTTTGAGATTTCTGCCTCACCCAAATAGGATTTAACTCCAAAGCAGGATATATTACTTTGCAATATTGTTGTAGAATGCATATTTCTCTTGAATTGGTAGTAATATTCCAAGAAAATCCTTTATGAAAAGCCCAGCTAAGGGGTGCCTGGGTGGCTCAGTTGATTAAGCATCCAACTCTTAATCTCAGCTCAGGTCATGATCTCACGGTTTTTAAGTTCGAGCCCTGCCTCAGGCTCTGCACTGACAGTGTGGAGCTTGCTTGGGATTCTGTCTCTTTCTCTCTCTCTCTGCTCCTCCCTCCCCCTTGCTACATAAATAACTAAATAACTAAATACCTAAAAATTAAAAAAAAAAGACAGCTGAGCTCCAACCATTAGCCATTATCAACTGCCAGCCGGTGACTGAGCCACCATGGATGTCTTTCCCAGTGATGTCCTTAGATATCTTCAGCCATACTTGCTAGCTGATTGTAAGCCCATGAGAGACCACAGTGAGAACCTGCTAGTTGGGACCCTTCTAACTAGACCCTTGAGAGATATTGATAAATTGTTGTTTGAAGCCACTAAATTTTAGAGTAGTTTGTTTTAGAGCAACAGATAATTGAAACATGGCTTAGGAATAGGATCTGAGCCCAAGGCATTTATAGATCTGTGATATTTTGGAGGAAAAGAAAGATGAAAAAGTGGAGTAGACAATTTCTTTAGTCATCATATGAGACACTATTGGATGAATCACAGCAAGTGGATGGTATATATAGTAAGCAACATACTATAGTTTCTTAGGAAAAAATAAATTATTATTAGAATTTCCTGTATATAATAAAATATAATAATTATGTAACTGTCATAAGTTTTCAATATCTTCAGCACAACATACTGTGGCCCTAGGGACTTTGCTTGGGACCAGGTTAGGAATAGTCTCTGGTGTGGAAAGATGAGGTATTGAGGATCTTTTGGCCCCAAAGAGCATTAGTTACATAGATCTGAGTGCCAATGACCCAAAAGAACAGGTGTGACTTCTGAAATCAAAATAGGTAGGAAATGCATATTATGGGGTTTGGTGGAACATTCTACGTACATGCACTTTATGGCACTGCTTCAGCGTAGGCTGACACATAAGGAATCAAAAAGGTACTCACAGGGACTATATCCCTTTGAACCCATGTCAGTGTGGAATTTTTAGAAGAGTTATTCCTTCCTTTTCATTTCTGGGAGTCACCCTAAACTCTGATACATTTCAGAAATTCCAAGCAGTGCCAGAGTTCCTAACATGAACTCACTGTTGTCCCAGGATTGCACTGCTGGATTATTTATTTACTTATTCATTGATTCATTCAGATGCAAAGAAAAGGAAGGAGAATTTGGAAAAATTCACATAAATAATTTCCAAAATCCCTATTAAGATTTCATTATAATTAGCAATGCAAGTAAAAGAGAAAAATCCACTGAAGTCAGCTTGGGAGAACATGGTAATATGAGAGAAGAGAACTGTAACTAGCTTTTATCCCAAAGACTTTTTATCTAGGTCACTTTTTTTGGGTGATTCCGATGGGAAAAAAATTTATAAACAAAATGTTCTAGAGTCCAAATTTTGGCAAATTTGCAGTATATTTACATTTGCCTCTGGGTATCTTTTTATCATTGAGTTAAAATATTTTTTTGGATAACGTATATTATGAATAACTCACTAACCCTAAAAAATACAAAAGATTACTTCTTATAATACTTTTATGGGTATTAGAGGGACAATGGCAAAATGGAGAAAAGGAATTTGATGTTACAAACTAACAAACTTCAGTTAAGAAAGCTTTCTTACCATGATACCTGTATGAAGCATTATGTAATGCACAGTTTGAGTGACATCAGCTGCATGAATCAAATTGTGATAAGGATTTTTGTACTTGCTGTAACCAACTTCTAAAGCTTCTGCAAAGCAAATTAGGCAAGAAACAGGAATCTGCGAAAAGTAATAATTATGATTATATTTTGATAAAATAGTAGCACTAAGTCAACATAAGCACAACAAAGTTCGGGATAGAACACAATTGTGAGTCAGATGTGGGCAGGAGTTTTTTTGCAGTTAAATGTAGGATGTTCCGAAAAATGATTTCATTAACCTGTTAGCTTTCAATCCTAAGATTATAAACCCATGTGTTTAACTAAGAGAGATGAATTAACAATATCACCCATATTGTGGTCTTTAAATGTTTATATCTTCCAGAGTCAAGACAGAAGGCTAGTTCTTAAAAGGGTAAAATTCCCAGTTACAATTGAAGTCTGTTTTTTCTATCCATAGTACAAAAGATTAAAATAAATGACCTCCCAGTACCCTCTAACTCTAAAAATGCCATGATTCCATTGGAAATGCTGAAGGGTACACGTTTCAGAGTGCTCAGAAATCTGGATCAAATCTGTTGCTTAAATGGCTCTAAATGAAGTTAATTAGAAGCCCTTTCATCTCAGTTTAAGAAAAGCTGCCAATAAAGATTCATTCTGTGTTTGTGAAACATAGAAGAGCATCTTTTTTTTTTTTTTTTTTTTTTTTTTTTTTTTTTTTTTTTTTTTTTTTTTTTTTTTTTTTTTTTTTAAGAAAACATAGCTCACAGTCTCTACATGACTATTCTGGGAGTAATTCAGGGGGATGTTGGTATCTTGTTGGAATGATACTACAATGGCCTCATGACATCCATGTGGATACATGTCAGTGAGTCATGGAAAATGGATATATCGTGTGGTAAACTCATCCCCTAGTTCTGTGACCTGCTAATTAGAAACATTAAAAATGCATTGATTAATGACTCAATGTTCTGCTTTTTCATTCTTATTCAGATAACCAATTCTAAGAGCATTTCACTTTTGTCCCATGTTTCTGACCTTGAAACGATTGATAAGATCATATCTGGTAAACAGTTCATAAATCATAAACTTCAGGCTGTGCTCTCCACTTGCTTCATTTAAGGCAAATACATCAAAAGACCATTTATCAACATCCTGTAAAAAAAAGAGGAAATACTTTAAATGGCAATATTATATAGTTCTATTTCTCTCTATGAAAAGATCAAGCATTGTAGATTCAGCAGGTTACATTTCAATTTAGAACATCTGACTATATTTTGCAGAGTTTGATATGACAGGGCCACTTAGCATCCATGGGTTCACAAAAGTGAGGCCATAATGTGTAATGTAGTGTTAAGATTTTCCTTAATCCTTTAATCCCAAAGTTATCAAACTTGATGTAATAAACCTGTTAACACTATAATACTAACCTTATCCTCAATCTCTCTTCAAATTCTTACCATAAGTCACTTTCTCAGAGTGGGCTTCATTTTCAGGTAGAATTATGGGTTATATGGTGATGTCAATGGGGAGATGGGGGAAAGTAGCCCCAACTTCTCTTTCCCATCCACCACCTTCTACACGGCTTGAAATTACACCCTAAGAGTTAGTACTTTGGTTTAAAGCTTTGATATTTTATGTCTTCCTTTAAGATGCAAACACCCTAGAAAGGTAGAGTATATACAACCTTGTTAGTCATTGTACCCTTGACCGATTCATTTACACTTTCCTCCAAGGACAGATGAAAAGGAAAAAGAAGTGGGTCTTTTGACTGACATGAAGGAAGAGGAGAGTAAATTGCAGCATTTCAGGAGATTCTTTAGGGAAGTGGTCAGGCTTATAGGCAAACACATACATACCCTTGGAAAAAAACCACTGCCAGTGGGAGAGAAAGCCAAACTGTTACAGCTACCTCCTGATGTTTGCTTTGGGTAATTGCAGGATGAATACCTGCAGAGGTGTTCACAAAATGGACTTGTAACAAGTGATATTAAGTCCTATATACTAAGGAGGTTTTAATGTAAATTTGGAGCTCCAATACTAAACAAATCACTGAAATTTTAAAAATTTAAAGAAATACAACAGTCAGCTCTGATTATTAGAAACTATTAGCAAAGTGTGGGTTTACATACACACAACAGGTTTACTATTGAATAGTAAGCGGGCAACCTTAAAGCTAGGTATTAATTTTGAATTTGGGCTGGCATTGTTTAGAACTTTGTTCATTTAACACATTTTTACAGAGGCCAATTATCTGTACTATAACATGATGAAACCTGAGAATCTGATAAAAAGTATTCAGTCTCTTTTAAAAATACTGCTTTTGAAAATAGTAATAACAGCTTCCAGTGGTAATTTTAATCACTTGAAAACACCAATGAAATATTTTTGTTTTATTTGCTTACATGCTTTTGTTAAATTCCTCACATTTGGCCCTGATTTGATCCCCAAACACTTGCTTTATCTGTTTGTAAATTTAGAATCGCTAAAAGTTGTCTTAGAAGGCATTTTGCCATCGTAAAGCTCAAATGAGGCCAACAAATCTTTTATCAAATTCCAAAGCTAACACAGAAGAATTAGTTCAGATTGTTAGGAAGCTGCTATTTATAGTTCCTGCTAGGGGTTTCCCACTGAGTAAAAGGTTAGTTCTCTACTTTGGGGGATTTTTATCAACAATGATAATTTACATTTATAAACTACTGCAGATGCTTGATTAAGAACAAACAAGACAAGAAGGTATCTCAGGAAATAAGAACTATTTAACAAAAATATTCTTTACTGGTGGCTATTTCCTTCTGCAACCTGTTAGTTTATATATTTTTTCTATACTGAACTTTAGAAAAATGTTTACTTTCTCTCATACTAAAACATTGTGTTGGTTTCTAAGTAAAGGTTATTAAAATAAGAAAAATAAAAATAAGTAACATTCTTGCCCACATTTGAGTAAATAAAAATCTCACAAGATCCAAGGAGTAATTAATATCCTACAATGTGACATTTCAGTTATATACTCCTTTATTATAGCTTTAGAAACATAAACACAGGGGCCCCTGGGTGGCTCAGTCAGTTAAGCAGCCGAGTTCAGCTCAGGTTGTGATCTCACGGTTTGTGAGTTCAAGCCCCATGTTGGGCTCTGTGCTGACAGCACAGAGCCTGCAGCCTGCTTCAGATTCTGTGTCTCCCTCTCTCTCTGCCCCTTTCCCACTCATGCTGTCTCTCTATCTCTCTCAAAAATTAATAAACATTAAAAAAAAGAAACATAAACATAAAAAAGTGCCCAAGAAAAACTATCCTTTTAAGTTAATAAGATGAAAGTCTAATATGGAACAGAGAAAAAAAAAAAAAAAACAAATGCAAAGGGTACCCTTTAAAATAAATTAACAAAAGAAAACAATATAAATTGAAACTAGAAAAAGAGTTTAATAAATCACAAATAAAGCAAATCAGGATATTCTGTTGCCAGTGTCCTTTAAATTCTTGGGTGATACAGGAAAACAACCATGAAACTATTAGAGGAGACAAAGTTGAATGTCTCTACCCAAATTCAACAATAGAAAGAAATAAGAGATATTAAATAATAAGCCTACAAACTGCCTCTAGAAATAGGAACAGTGCTCACATGGGCACACACAGTGGAGACAAGTGAATCCAAAACTTTTACCACTTCAGAGTTTTGACTCTAGTTATTTCTAACATATTTAATACTGCAATGGGGCCTCAACCACAGGAAAAGCAGAGATGAGAGAGACACATTTCTTTTGTTTTGTTTCTTAATTTTATATTTTCTCAGAACTAAAATTCCAAACAAATTTCTTTCATGTAAGTTTTGTCCTGAAATATTTTTTTTAATGCATGCAACTTTTCCATAGTATATACATAACAAGATATGTATATTCTGACAAGTCCTGGTGCCATCTCAAAACTGAATTCAAGATCCACCTAAATAAAGCACAAAGAAGAAAAGAAAGCACATAAGTGTGTGCACACACGTGCATATGCATTGATAGCTTGTTGGTGTCAATCAATCCTCATTTAAGTCTACAATGAGTCATGATTCAGAACACACGACATGTTGAAAATGGTTAAAATACTACTTATATACAAACATATAAGCTGCAGCAAAGACCTATTTTCATGTTCTCCCAACCATTTTAAGATTTGAAAAATGACTATTTGAAAAAGTTAAAACAATTAAAATCATTTCACCTTTAATGTTATTATGACAGCTTCTGGATATGCCAAACCAACCATGTGATAGGACTTTCTGTACATCCTGAAAGAGAAAAATAAGTGTATATATAAAACTCATTTACTCAAAGTTTTCAGCTATTTTTTAAGAGATGAGGGAAAAGATTACTTTTGACTTTTTCAACTTTCATTTTTAAGGACAAGCTCCCTTTGTGGTAATGATGACAACTATGGTCACCATTTATTGAGCATCTACAATGTGGAATATGCTCAAATGAATTTGTGCACAACCACCCTACAAAGTCAGTATGATTGACATCTTGCCTGTAACTTCATCTTATTAAAAGAGACTGTCCTTTGTATATGCAACAAAGCATTCTGGCATGTCATCATATTAATGACAGAAGGGTATTCTTGTTTAGTGTTCATTTATGTGGCAAAATTTTCAATCTAGAAGCTAAAATGTCATTAAAATTATTGCCTTTATGTATTCCTTTCTTCTTTGTTTTTTATAAAATGTAAATTATAAATTATAAGAGACAATACATAGTATCATCAGAATTTATACAGCTTTTGTATTTTTTAAGCTAATAACATTGGGGCAGACCATATTGACAAAAATTGCTTAAGTCTGTTCAAATTGTCATTTAATAAAATTTAAGAAAAATTATGCAGAAAGAACAAATTTATTTCTATTTTCATAGCATCAATAAAATGTTTTTATTAATCAGTAATTTGTTGGATTTTTTCCATCTTCTAATGGGCAACCAAAATGATATAAACCAAATATATGAAATGCCTCCACTGGTTCATGTGAGAATAGGATCAGTGTGATACCCAATGTGTAGAAATAACAATAGGCTTCAATTCAGAACTGGAAGATACATGGTTCATCCACAAAGTCCTGGGAAGAAAGAATTTAACTATTAAACATTTCCCTTTTTATATTATTAGTGCACAAGAAAGCTGCATTTATAGACTATATTGTTGTAACTTCTCCCAAAATGCCTGAATAAAATAATTATTTAATGATTATATCATTAGTTAAACAAGGGAGGTCAACATAAGAATAGTCACTTGGGGGGCGCCTGGGTGGCGCAGTTGGTTAAGCGTCCGACTTCAGCCAGGTCACGATCTCGCGGTCCGTGAGTTCGAGCCCCGCGTCAGGCTCTGGGCTGATGGCTCGGAGCCTGGAGCCTGTTTCCCATTCTGTGTCTCCCTCTCTCTCTGCCCCTCCCCCGTTCATGCTCTGTCTCTCTCGGTCCCAAAAATAAATAAAAATGTTGAAAAAAAAAGAATAGTCACTTGGAAGTTTTGCAGCTTTCATAAAACCACTACAGAAGATGTTAACCTTTCTGATTCAATATACCTTCTATTAAAAATCTGTAAGATGTATTACTTAATTTCTATGTAAAACCTATCTTTTCATAAAATAATAAATGCTAAAAATTCATGGTTCCCTTTTTAATCTTGACTTCTTGGAAGCTCAGAATTAAAATACTGCATTTGCATACATATCTATCCTAGGTTTTCTTGATAAAGGATTTTGCCACTTTATTACAGAGACATTATTTATTTCTATATTTCCATTTTATGTTTATTTTAAATGACTCTAAATGATTTTTGAATATGGGTAATTGGTTATAATAAAAAAATTATCCTTATCCTCTATCTCTATTGGAAGATTTCAGAGCAGTTTATAAATAAAAATACTTATATTAATTACTCTATTGAGATAGGTGTAATTATTCTAGTCTTGCAGGGCAAGGAAACTAGCGATTACACTATAACAGACCCAGAAAATAATTATTGTCAATAATGATGTTTAGTTGTTTTGTGGGTTTTTTTTTTTTTTTTGAGGCACCAGTCTTTTCTATTTTTCTAGTCATTATTACTAATAAATGGAGGTACAGAGGAAATAGAAGGATAACGGACTAGGAAAAGAAGGTCAATATAACAATCAGGAGTAAGAAAAATTAAGTAACTTTTAATTGGTGTGACTTCATGGCAGAGAAAGGCAGTAGGCTGTAACGAAGAGAAGACATACTTTCAATTACAGACTAGCTACTCACTATCTATGTGACCTTTGGAAAGCTATTTAATGTCACTCATCTGTAAAACAAGGATAATTATAAGCTTTTTGTGAAGAGTAAATGATGTAAATGCCTAGCATAATATAATAAGTACTCAACACAAGAAAGCCATTATTAGTATTAATGTTACTGTTCTCACTATTCTGCAGCCAGTGCTGTTGGCTGCAGTTCTTAGGTTCTTCAGGGCTCCCTGGGCTCTGTGGGAACTCTGGTGCTGTTTCCTTAGACCTGGAGTAGGTTGAGAAATGAGTATCAGTGCGCGTTTTCCTTACATGGAATGTAAAGAACGACAAAGCAGATTATCTTTCTGAGGAGACAGAGAAACTTTCCCATTATTCCTTTCCAATCCTATAATTTGGAGTAAAATATTAGGACAAAAAATTAGGTTGTTTGGAATCAGAATCGATGTAGGGGAAACCTTAATACAGTTGCCTCACACTTGAGTAAATAGCTGATATAGTAGAAGTAGCTGAAAAAGAACAGTGAGTTTCCTAGGCTCCTTCAGGTGGTATAAGTTCAACTGGAAATACGGTGGATTATTTCTGGACGTTTTTACTGCAATTGCAAAATATAATTCAAAACCTAAACAAGACAAAACAAAACAACACACACAAAATAAAAATGGCTTTATGTCAGACACCGCGTTAGGTAAGAGACCAGTGGCAAATAAGAAAACTACATCTGCTGCTTTCACAGGGCTTACTGAGCAGTGAAGACGGACAATAAATAAAAATATATGATTACAGGGGTGCCTTGGTGGCTCAGTCGGTTAAGCATCAGATCTTGATTGAGGCTCAGCTCATGATCTCATGGTCATGAGGTTGAGCCCCTAAGCAGGACTCAGTGTAGAACGTGGAGCCTTGCTTGGGTTTTCTTTCTCTCCCTCTCTCTCTGCCCCTCCCCCATTCATTCTTTTTCTCTCTCTCAAAATAAATAAACTATACACACACACACACACACACACACACACACACACACACACACATATATATATATAAAACAACACTAAGCACTATGAGGTAAACTGCTGGTTAGGGTAGAGAAAGTGATGAACAGTGTATACAGAGTACTCAGGGAAGGCCTCTGAAAAGACAGAAAGGACCAGGAAGGGGGAAGGGTGGGGAAAATCACTTTTGGTAGTGGGAATAACAGGACAAGTGGCCCCAAGGGAAGAAAGAGTTAGGGATCTTCATGGGGTTGAAATCAGAGCAGTACAGATACTCAGTTAAAAATAAAGGTAGCATTCAATAAGGTGAGAAGGTAAAAGGGGCCTAACCTGCAAATCCATGATACAGAAGTCACTTTTAATACTAAGTGAAATGGAAAATCAACCGATGGTTTTAAGCTTAAGAGTGACAGGGACTAATTTATATATTTAAAATTGACTTGTTTGGAAAGGGCACTTGTGGAAGAGGGAGGCCCAACTGGAAAGCTACTGTCCCATTTCTGATGGCAGGTAACAGAAATGGAGACTGGGATTGCAGGAGTAGAGATGGAAAAGCAAGTAGATTGGAGGTACTTTTGGATGAGCAAATTGCCAGGACCTGCCAAGGCACTGAGTCTTGGGAGGGGAGACTTGACAGGATGCTCAGGAAGTCTTTCTAACTTTCAAAACTGAAGACAGTTATCTTTGAAAACTGAAGAGAAGCATATGCCATTATTTCTATGCACCTACTAAAGGGGCTACAAGAGTAATAAAGAGATTTCATTTCCTTGTGTTTGTAGCATATTGATTTCTTCCAGACTGCATGCTGGTTTAGTTGTCTTAAGTACATTTTATATCTCTATAACCTACTAAGTAAAATATTTTATGTAGCATATGGAAAAAATGAAAATGTAGGATATCAATGTATTTTGCAGAAATCTTAACCTTTTATTGGGTGGGAATAGAAATTTACCTCCACTGTTTGCCTCCTTTTTAGTTTGCCAAGTTCTACAATATTTTCTTTAAAAAGACCAAATACATATTCTTTCAGCAAATCACACATACTGTCTTTTATCTGTGATTCTTTCACTGACTTTCTGAACTCCTATTGAGATGTTAATATCGATTTGATGTTAATGAGAATCAATAACTGTCACACACTTTCCAAAAATTGTTTTTTTTTTATTTTTTTTTTTTTTTTTTTTCAAAAAATTTTTTTTTCAACGTTTATTTATTTTTTTTGGGACAGAGATACAAATGAACGGGAGGGGCAGAGAGAGGAGATACAGAATGGGGAAGACGACCAGGCTGCCCAGCCATCGGGAACTGAGCCGACGCGCAAGGCTTCAATGACCGGCTAGACAGACCTTGGTAGAGTCGACGCTGAACCGCGGACAGCCTACCCGACTCGCTACGTTAGGCCTTTTTTTTTTAAATGGGAATAGATATTCCTTCTCTCCAGCCCTGCCTCCCTGTTGCAGACTTCTGGTCCCACCCAGAGTTAAGGGGTAACAGTTTATACTAAGGTGGGTACTCCTACACACAATGGAAGAGTTCTTGTTATAAAAGCCAATTAGATATGGTTAATAAATACTCAAAATAATTTAAATAATCACTGACTGGTTGTTATTGTATATAATATAGGCACAAGCCAAGATACTTCAAGCTTTATGTGCTGTATTTATATTTTCAAATGGCATCAAATACTTCTTGCAATGCATTCTCATTTACATTTTTAGAAATCCAAATGTTTAGTTCCTTTTAACAGAGGAAAATTAAAGTTTATAATGTTCATTCAAATTAATAAGTAGAGATGTCAAAAGATGAAAAATGATGTGGTCTCTCTTAAATTTAAGTACATTGACAAAAAAATTCTCCATTCCTCAATTTTATTAGTTTCAAAATGTTTCATCTTTTTATATATCATTTAATATAATTTAATTGTTTTTTAATCTAAGAGATTTCTAAAGACTAATTTTTTAAATTGTCAGATGTAACACGTTTATTTCAAGTCTTTAACTTTAATTCTAGAACATCTTGTTTCCTAGATAGAAAAAAAAAAAGCCTGTATTCTTAAGGGCTAAATGAATATAAAATTAGGCCACATCAACATGTATTTCACAGGGCTCCTGGATGGCACCTTGTGGTTAAGCCTCAAACTCTGGTTTCTGCTCAGGTCATGATCTCATGAGTTTGTGGGTTCAGCACCCCTGACCCACACACACCCCCTCCTGTTCACCCCCCCCCCCCAGTGGGGCACTGGGCAGCATGGAGCCTGCTTGGGATTCTCTCTCTTTTCTCTCTCTCTCTCTCTCTTTCATACTCTCTCTTTGCTCCTCCCCTGCTCATGCTCTCTTTCTCTCGCTCAAATTAATAAACTAAAAAACAAAAAACAAAACAACAGCAACAAAACCATGTATTTCACATCAGAAACTACAGCGATTTGATTTGGTGCTTCTAGGACCCCTCAAGTATTCCCTGCTTCAGTGACAGAAATGTTAAAAAACTCTTCAAAAGCTCATGGGATCTTTCCTTCCATGATGGAAAGAGGATGGTCTTTTCACTTTAATACAGAGAAAGGCCTGTTTGATTTTAGTATGTAGTACAGAACTCATTTTTCTGAAGTGTTACATTTTACAGGTAAAATTAGTTGTGTAACATATGAGTGTGTTATAACTTCTTAAACAGTTACTCACAAAGGTTCATTTGAGGGCACTGGTCAGTCAAGTCTTTGCTTTTAGTCTTTATGTCATTTTAAAAGAAATAAAAATAATAAACCCAGGATAAAACATTTTTGTTATAGGCAAGCTTGTAATAAAGCCCTACATTTGTTCATTCTATGTACACTTATAATTGAAGTTTTCTTCAAGAAGCAAAATATTTGACTCACATAACTTTGATATGGTAAGTTTATCTCCTGCTTTCCAAATTTTATCATCTTGAGATACTAACAGTGTCACTTACCTTTCCACAAAAATTCCAGCTTGAACAGCATGCACGATGCTTCGAAATTTTGGCTTTTCCTCAGATTTCTTTTTCATCATCCCCATTTTCCGTGTAAAAGTAGAAGCCAACCAGTCCCGTACTTCCAATGGGACTGAATCAGTCTGAATGTCACTGAGCTCATCATCGGTATCCAGCAGTCTTCTACAAAAATGTATACCGATTAAACTTGAGGAAAAAGTGAAGAAAAACTGATAACAAAACAAACACTGCAATAGGACTTAAAATACAGCAAATCACTCTCTGATCACCCCTCAATATGAGCTGTCTCAAAAAAGGAAAATGATTGGATTAACATTTGGAAAGCTCTGAATTCCTCAGATTGATTCTCTTCTGAAGGCAAGCACTAAGGGCCTTGAACATTTGCAGCTTCCCCAACATTGAAGTGTAGCAATACCAGTCTGAAGATATCAATTAATACACTATTCTTGTAATGAATAAAAATAAAACAGAGAAGAAGTTTCATAAACAGATGTCTGTTATTAAAGGAGGCAACTGGAGTGGAAAGAACAAAGGGGACTGGAAGTTGTAAAAGTTGTCTTGTAGTTAATAATCTTGGGTATATATGGTACTGATAGCACAAGCTATTTGAATAAGGCCTTGGTGTTTACAAAAGTCATTCACATGTGTTATTTCATTTGATCAGGATCTCTACCTTTTAGGAAAATAATAAATTAAGTATTCTAAAAGATATTTATTCCGATAGCAGCACCACAGTTTAAAAAGTGAAGAAAAAAAAAGAAACAAATGGATTATTTTGAAAGCTCATTTTAGGTGACAGAGCCAGTGGAAGTGGAAGAGAAACACTTCTGGCTTCTTGAGGAAAACTTTAGTATTTTGCTCTCCTGAGGGTGGGGATCGGTGGGTTTAGAATTGCTGGCTGAGGAAATCAACAAAGTGAGTGAGGAAGCAATTGGGCTGTAATCTCTGCAGATCTCTGCAGATCGGGGTGCTCTGTCACTCTCCTGTATAAGCTCCACACAGACAACACTGACTGGACTGATGGGTAGTAATACCTGCCCTTAAGGCTGGTCAGCTCCAATCACCCAGAACTCCCGAAAGGTCTGAACTGGCAAGATAGTGTGAAAGGCTCCCCACAAAATATAGAAACTCTACAGAGCGATTGAGCTTTGCCTCCAGAAAGAACAGAGGCCAGCTCTGTCTCATTTGACTTCATTATTTCCTTGTCAGTGTACCAATTTAATAAATCCTAGGTATTTTTAGCACATTGTAGTTTTGACTTTTGGATTCCATTCACTTGGGTAAATCTCTTTGTACAGAGTGAAGCCTAAGAATCATAGGCTGATGGAAGGTAGCCAGAAATGACAGTGTGTGCTAAAGCCTCCAGAACAAGTCACACTAACTTGAGAGGGCAGGGACCAAGTAAAGGGCAAAAAAAATTAGAAAGGCCACCCAAAGCACCCAGTGTTACCAAAAAAGGCTCAAAAGATTATATGATGACCTCTATGTGCTGCTGTTCTCTATAAACAGAGCACAGTCATTTGCCAGTATTTATTTTTCATGGTATTAAATAAGCACAAATGCATTTATGAAATAACTTATGACAAAATATATACAACTTAATGGCTAGAGTTACAAAACCACATGTATACATATGAAGACCAAAAAAACTTACATATTGGAACTTAATACTGATTAATACTTACATTACATCATTTTTAACTTTCTTTCGGAACTTACGTTTGAGTGGTTCTGATTTACCCTTAACACACTGACACTGTAACTCAAAGCAAAATACTTTTTTTAGCATTTTGTCCATTTCAAATGGACAATTATAGCAAGATATTACACTACATGGTTTGGAAATTCAGGGCTTATGGCATTTCTATTATTTCTTATCCAGTGATCAAATAAAGCTACAGAAGAGGGCAGGTGGATTTGAGAATCATTGTGGTGTAATATTGTGATGTCACCAAACTCCAAGAATTCTACTGCTGCCTTGTTTTATCAGCTACTTGAAGTAGAATGACACATTGTAATGGTGGCCAATTGATTCTTTACAAATTTGATATTGATGACTGTAGTCTTAAACTCATAAGTTATCCAAGACAGATCATCAAACATGACAAAATCAGCCTATGGAAATGAGATTTCATATGTGGATGTGGGATCAGGAGTCTGGTAATTCTTAATCATGATGCATGATGTCATTCATTAAGAAGGAAAGAACATACGGGGGTATATGGGTGGCTTAGTCGGTTAAGCGTCTGACTCCTGATCTCAGCTCAGACCTTGATCTCAGTGTTCTGAGTTCAAGCCCCACATTGGGCTGCATGCTGGGTGTGAAGCCTACTTAAAAAATATGTAAAAATAAAAAAAAATAAGAAGAAAAGAGCACATAATCTTGGAGAAAGAGTGATATGAATTCATTTGTGGATATAGGAATAAAGGAAGAGTGCGTAAAGAGGAAAGCATGAGCTATGGTACTCTCTAATTAAAAGCAAATTTTGAAAAAGCAACAAATACCTCTTCAGTGGTTAATTTTATATGTTAAACATGGCTAGGGCATGGTGCCTGTTATTTGGTCAAACACCCAGTCTAGGTGTTGTTGTCAAGGCATTTTTCAGATGTGAAAGCGGATTACCTTCTATAATGTGAGGGTGCCTCATTCAATTAATTGAAGGCCTTAAGAGATAAGACAGAGATTCCCTAAAGAGGAAGGAATTCTGTCTTCGAATTGCCTTCAGACTACAGATTGCAACATTTACTCCTGCCAGAATTTCCAGCCAGGGTCAGCCTGTTCTGCAGATTTCCGTTTTGCCAGCCCCCACAATCACATGAGCCAATTCCTTAAAATCAGTCAATTTCATTCTCCTCTCTCTTGCTCTTTCTCTCTCATTCTCTTCCTCTAATAATATAAAGAGTAAGCAGATAAATATCTTTATATATATAAGCTATATATATAAAGGCTAAGAAAGAATATTTCCATCATTCACAAACACTCTGTGGTAACTACCAGCATGGATTATAAATCAGATAGATGACAAAGGCACAAATCCATCTTATATTAATATTCAATTAACAAAGCAAGTCAATTGTACTTCCTGTTTTGAAATATAAAAAGTCATTGGCAAGGAACTAAAATGCCTTTTTAGCTATTATGGATCTAAATGCCACACTGTCTTTCCATGTCTTAATAGCTCTTTTTTCTAAGGTGCATTTCGCTTTGAAATTCTTTATTGCTGAATCACAATCTATTGTATGGATATACTAGTTTGTTTATACATTCAACCAAGGTTACCTTGGTTGATTCCAAGTTCTGACAATTACAATAAAGCTGTAAAAATAGTTGTATGCAGAGTTTTCAAGTTAATTTGAATAAATACCAAGGACCACAATGGTTGGATTGTAGGGTAAGAGTATGTTTTGTTTTTTAAGAAACTTCCAAACTGAAGAAGTGGCTGCATTCCTACCAGCAATGAATGAGAGACAGACCAAGCCACCATCATCTCTCTCCCGGTCTGCTGCAGTAGCCCCCTACCGGTCTCCTGGTCTCCTTGTCCTGATGCCCTTCTGCAGCCAGAACGCTTCTTTTAAAGTATGAGTCGGGCCATGTCAATGCCTAATTCATAATGTCCTACATAGCTCATCACAAGCTGTGTCTCTCTACCTTCATTTCTTAACCAGTTTCCCCTCACTCACTTTGTTCTAGCAACACTGACTTCCTTGCTGTGCTTAACCCTGCCAGGCTTCCTACTGCTTTCGGGTCTTTGCACTGGCTGTTCGCTTTGCTTAGCATCTCTTCCCAATTTGAGGGGATCATTTTCTCACTGTATTCGGGTAAAGAGGGCTTCCTTGACTCCCCTACTCAGTTAGTTAACACCTCTATTCTGTCTTTTTGTCCTACTGTAGACTTCTTAGCACTTGATATCATGTTGTATGTATACTAGTTTATTCATTTTATGTTTCATCCCCTAAACTGTAAAGATCTTGAAAGCAGAGAGTTGTTCTGATTTCATGCATTATTGTATCACCAGCATCTACAACAGTGCATGGCACAGAGTAAGAGATGAACATGTATCTCCTGAATAACTAGAAAACATTCAGAAATATTATAAGTGATTACCTTTGAGGAGTAGAATGAGGATAGGAATGATAAAAGAAATTTTAGTCTTTAGAGTCCTGTATTATCTGATTGATAAGCAGCAGTAGCAGCAGCATGGGAGTAAATTCACTGCTGTGAATCATCGTCTTCATTGCCTTTAGGTTAATTTGCCCTTGAATAACCCCTTAATTTTTGAAGCAAATTATGGGGAATCATGCATATTTGGTGTGGAAAAGTCATTAAACATTTTTTATGGCATTTTGAACTATAGGCACAGGAAAAAGAAATTTTAAAAATTCTATACACTGTTTGTATGCCTTTAGCCAAGAAAGTCAATACAGCAAAACCTTGGATTGCAAGTAACTTGTCTGTGAGTATTCTCTGCAAGGTAGTAAACATTTCTAATAAGTTTTAAATTGACAAAGGAGTGATGTCTCACAATACGAGTAGTACATGGTGCCGAACATCACATGATCACAACTGAGCCAATGTTTCTCCTCTCTCTTTCTTTCTCTCTCACTCACTTGCTTGTTCACTCGCTGTGGAACTGTGGGTGATCATCAATGCAATGTCACATTTCTGTGAAATGCTCAAAAAGAGGCAAAAGCAAGTGTCATTAGATAGGTTCCTTGTTAAAGCTGCACGAACAGAAAAAGATGCCATTGAGCCAATAGACAGCAGTGATTCCATTAGTGATAGTGAAAATCATCCTACACGATAACCCTCCTCCTCTCGTCTCCCTCAGACCACCCACGAAGGTTTTCAAAGGTAAGTCACAGGTTAATTTGTTAATTTTTCTTTATATTTTCTATTTTCTTTATTATTTTGTATCATATTACAGTACTGTGATCATTTTTATATGAATATTTTTGGGTTGTGGAATGAATCATCTGAGTTTCCATTATTTTTTATGGGGAAATTCGCTTTGATATACAAGTGCTTTGGATTACAAGCATGTTTCCAGAACATATTATGCTCACAAACCAAGGTTTTACTGTATTTCTGTTAAATACTAACTCATATATTCCTTTCTCAACTATAGTAAGACATTGTTAATGAAGCTATAAATAAGTTGTAA